TTTCCAAGGCCAGTATCAGTTTCACGTAAAGAAAATTTTCTTCGAAACTTTGCATTTTTTCTCTCATCTTCATTCCCAAGAGTTACAATAGGTACTGCTTTTATATTTGAGGAAGTTGACACCAATTGTGGACCTGATATTGATTTTATGGTATTATTCTTTGACTTTGTCCATTTACGTGGTGAATTATTTGAATGTAAGTTGAAATTTTCATTAGCATTTTGTACTCTTCTCATTATCATAACTTGATGTGCAATATCACTTTGTCCTGATGCAATTAAAGTATCAGTAAGTGATAATGGAGGAGGTTGTGGTTTTGGAGGTGCAACTGATCGTAAAGTACGTTTTCCAGGTAATTCAGGTGCGACATTAGTTTTCTGAGAACCAGTTGAAGTTTTGCCTCCAAGTTGTATCATAATTGGTTTTGCATAATTACCATCTGACGTATAAAGAGGAGCAGCTTGTTGTTTGGCATATCCAATCCGTACGTTAACATCATTAGGTTGTTCAATTTTATCATCGACTAATTTATATTGATCAGAAGTAATATGATGACTAATTTTTTCATTTGAATAGACACTAATAACACTATTCGTATTTTGTGGTGATTGGACTATTGTATTTGAATCACGATCAAAAGAAGAATTGTTCGATGATAAAGAATTAGGATGATTTAACTGCTTAGAAGTCATATGAGTGAGATTATTATTTAAAGATTCGCCTTGTAATTCTTCATAATTGTCATAATCGTTATAATCAGCATGATAAATTGAAATGGTGGAAGGAACGTGTGTAGTGTTTGAATCGGAATATTGATAATTATTCGAACCTTCAGTCGTTGAAGATTCTCTTGATAATAATAATGAACCTTGAAGTGGAAAAATTTCATTTTCAGGACTGCTGAAAGGAGTAGCTAAAGATTTTCCGGCTGAAGATTGAGAAAGACGTAAAAGACCATCAGATAATCTATCTAATGGAGATCGAGAAAGAGAATGAATATCATTATCATCATCAGTTAAATTAAAAGTGTTAAAAGTAGGAGAACGTTGTTTTGGAGAAAGAGAAGATATAATGGGAGCAAGACTTTGAAAGGAATCTCTAGAAATCAAATCAGATTGGGTGTTGTCGGAAGAGTTTGTGGGATGAGTATCGGTAAGATTTTTATTAGATAATTTTATTGGAGATAACGAGGGTGGACGTGTTCTTGGGGGACGGGGACGATCTTTTGTCGGATTCTCTAAAACACTAGACTGTCTCTTTATATCTTTAACATTGTTTACATTTTGTTCATTAGAATCTTTCATATTATTTTGATCATTCGATGTGGAAACAGTATTTAATGGCTCAACCATTATGTTTTGAGAATCGTCAATATGGCTATTATTATTTACATTTGAATAAGATAAATTATCGGTAGTATCTTTAATATTAGAAGGATTATGAATAGATCCTTGTTGAATAGGGTATCCACCAGTGACATTTTTACCATAAAATTTTCTAGCATTAGATATTTCTTGATTCGCGTCATTTGTAATTATAGGGGAAGTTGGTAATGGTGTTTGTACAGAATTTGGAGAAGAGATTGAAAAGTCGTGAATTGATTCATCTTCACGTAACTCTGCGAGATTATTCAACGGTGAACGCGCTTTATAGATTTTTTTTTTTTTTAAAAAAAAAAAGTTAATATTGGTTAATATTGAGAACAATAATAATAAATAGATGCATTAACGTTAATCGGGACATATAATAAACCTGATTTTGTCTGTAGTCGAGAACTATGTATGTTATAACTTTTTGAATTATCAGAGACTTGTGTATCAGTTGAGTCATTTTCCTTCTCGGCAGTGTCAGGGGGGGCATCACCTCTGCGTAATACACTAAATCGTTTAGTTAGTGTTGGCATGATGAGGGAAGACCGGGTAAAGGTTGGAAGTGAGGGAACTGTATCATTAGTGGACTGTTTTGAAAAGGAATTCTCGTCTTCTGACTGTTTTCTCAATTCAGTTTTCTTTAGGAGACGATGCATTTTGTGTTTTCGTGTGTATAAGAAAGGTTTAAAGAAGTGACTAAAATGATTGTGTAATATATTCAGTTTGTATTTAATATTTTCACTACTATTTTTACAGAAAAGAATGTCAAATTGGCTTTGAGGAAAAGACCTCCTAACAGCCGCAACGACGTACAATTAGTCTGTTGAAAGTAGATGAAAATGTTACCCACATAACACGCGCACATTGTACATAATATATCTGAAACTATTCATACGCATATACTTTGTATTTTTTATTTATTATGTGTAATTTGTGTGAACTTTATAATCACGTTACTTTAGGAATCTAAATTGAGAATAACTATGTACAGCGCATACATTTAAATATTAAACGTAAATGCGCGGTAAAAAAATCAAATTAACCTTCTAACTTTACTAGATAGAATGAAACCAATCATAATAAGCAAAAAAAATTCAATTATTAAAAGTAAACCATCACTTACAGATTTAGTGACAATTAATTTTGATTTGTTAGGAACATAATTACAACCCCAAATTTAGAAATTTTGTAATAATTGGATATTGTGTACTATATAAAGGCACGTATAAAAATTACGATTTTTATTTTGTTTTTCTTTTTTGAATTGAATTTTTATTTACAATATTTATAGTGTTTGTTTTTTAAGATTTTGTGTGAAAATTATAACTAATATGTATCACTATACCTTTTTTTTTTTATTTGAATATATTAAATATGTTGGCCAAACATAGGAAAAGTCCGATTTCATCGATTGATCAATGTTACTCACGTGAAATTCGTCAAAAGAAACTAGTTGTTTCTTAGAGGTTGTCCGATAAGCTGTAGGATCGATATTTTACTGTGATCACGAAGTAAATGCTGTTGGTATGCCACTGGTATAGGTCAATATGTGTAATGACGCCATATCCTAACTTCGGGATAAATTTACTGTAAGGGGTATGCAAAATATACTTGTCGGAAAACCCGGACAAGTCCCAAATCCTATAGAACAATTTCCATTTATCTCAAATTTTGCAAATACATTATATTATATATATATTGTGTATAATTTTGATAAAGGCTAGAGTTGGTTTAGTTGATTGTCAATTAACTAGAATATTATAATTTATGTATGCTGTCAAGAGAATGAAGCTTCGAGCTTTCAAGTTTATTATTTACCAGATTTAGCCCTAAAAACCTAATTAGCGAAACTTACCCATACGTACGTACGTACGACGTAAATTAATAATTATATTTAAACACCACATATGTTACCGTCAGGCTGAATCTGGTACGTACAAAATTTAAAAAACCCAAAGTTTTATTTTCTTTCGATGCTGTAGCATCTTAGAAAAATCAAGTCACAGAACGTAGTAAATTGTATGTCCTGACTTGATTTTTCTTGTATATACTCTATATACAGCATAGTAGTAAGTATAAACTATTTTAGTAAATAAAGTTTAAGTTTGTTACTACGTACATTTGATTTTAAACTATAGTTAAAAAATTTAGATTTTAAAAATTACTAGTTTTTATAGATTATTTGTTATTATAAATTTTTATTAAAAATAGATAGTTTAAAATCAAAAGTTAAAATTACAATTATTATAAAACACACCTATGGTGGTTTTGCACCTAATATGTTTTTATTATGTTTTTTAAAATTTTTTAAGTTTTTATCAGTTTTGTATATAAAATTTTTAACATTAATTTTTTTTATATTGAAGTTAATATTAAGGTTAGAATTAGTGTTTGAAAAGGGTTTTTGAAGGTGTAGAACATTTTTACTTAGGTTATCTCACACCAATTAATTAGCCAGTTTTTGAGATAATGTATATATAGATATAAAACACTATAGATATATTTTAGTAAAATTCTTAAATTTAATTCTAGATTAAGAGTAGTGTTATTAATTATTTAATTATTTTTATTAGAAGCTTAATTCTTTTTTTTTAATATATAGGAAAAGTTAGTAGAAATAAAACAAATTTATTAGATAAATTTGTTTTATTTTTATTGATTCTTCTCTATATATAGAATCAGATTCTTATATAATTTAACTTTTTATTCTTTTTCTTTTAATTGATAATTTGCTATTCAATAAAAGAATAAATAATTTTAGTATAATATACTATAAAAATTACATACTATATATTTAGAATTTGGTATTTATTCAAAAACCTTTTCTTATTAAGTTAATTACTCTTATTGTTTAAGATACAATTATTAAGCTTATAAAGAGGAATCTAACAGTGATAAGATTATTAAAATTAGTCTAGTAGTTGTTAAGATATCATTAAAAAATAATTAGCTAACTATTTAAAATTCTATAAAAATTTATATAGATAGCTAATTATTTTTTAATAATATCTTAACAACTATTAAACTTATTTAGATAATTATATTATTGTTAGATTCATCTCAATAAGCTTGACAATTGTTTTTTAAGCAATAAGAATAATTAATTTAATAATAAAAAAGTTTTTTAAATAAATACCAAATTTTAGATATATATAATTTAGAGATTTATTTTATAATACTATAGTATTATAGTGCTATAGTACTATAGTACTATAGTTTTAATTATTATATTTTAATTTATTTATTTATAATATATAGAATTTATAATTTATTACACAATGCAATATATTGCATCCCTATTATAACTATTTAATGATTATCAAATTTTGTATAACAAAAAATTTTTATCAAAACAAAAAATAAATTTGATTAATGTTAGGTTTAGAGTTAAGATCTGAGATAAAGCAAGAATATAGGATATATTAAAATTTTATAGAAATTTTTTTTTATTAAAACCCTAAAGGTGGTTTCATAGTAAAAATTTTTAAATAACAGAAGGGGTGCAATATATTACAGATGCAATAAATTTTAAAATCCATAATATATTACTATAAAATTTACTAATTTTTAATTTTTTATTATTTGTATACTTGACCTCTGTTAATATCAATCCATTTGAATTGGATAATTATATTGATATATGTGAGAGTTGATAATATCAGGATAGTTTTAATATACACTGAGTCCATTTTGTCTTAATAAGAGGTTGATATTAATGTGAGGTTGATATTAATGAGGTTGATATTAACAGGAGTCAAGTGTATTATACATGCCACCAAAATAGGTTTTTAAAAAACCCTATTTCGTCTCTATTTATCTTTCAAGTAAAATAAGTTAAAATCAATTTCAGCTTTAAATTTTAATTTCATACTCTGAAATTTAAAATAATTTCATTAGCATGTATAATTTGTATTATAAAAAGTTTAATAAAAAATACTTAATTGCTGATTTAGATAAGATCAATAGAGGAGTTTGGGCTCTATAGTTTAATAGTTAAGCTGTCAAACTCCTATAGACTAGATCAATGATTTAAGTTAAACTAAAGGCAAAAATTTTAGAATTTTTATTTCTGTAATCTAAAAGAAGCTATAATCGAATATAGGGCTTTATAGTTTAAATCTAAATATAAATATAAAACTAAAAAAGAAAATTCCTAAAAGAAGAACCAATTATAAAATAGTAGTACTATATATAATACCTAGTTATAAAAGATTCTGTTATATAAAGATCACACATATCAATTATTATTGCAGATCATAATGAAATCAGATCATTGTAAAATTTAGGGGTCTCAATTTAAAGATATAAGCTCTACTAAAATTCACCTATACTCTTTTCCTAATAATTCTAACCCTAAATCCTAATTTAACTATAAAAAAAAAAACCTAACTAAAAAGGTCACAAAAATTTTTAAAAATCGT